GTAGTCTGGCGCCTTGCTGCTGCCTCTCTACAACCCCAGTGAGAGACTTGTCGTGTCCCTCGCTTAGGAACATGGAGGCAAAGAACTCGTTGAGGAGTTCAGCCTTGTCCCCCCTGTCCCCCCTGTCACCAATTGTTTCTGCCCATTTAGCAGGGGTCCTATTCCTCCCTGGGCCTTCCTTTTACTCCCTATATATCTAAAAAACAATTTCTTGTTGTCCTTTACTTGGGATGCCATCCTCAGCTCCATGGTAGCTTTGGCCCGTCTAACTGCCTCCCTACAAGCACGAGCAGAGGAGGTATATTCGTCTTTGGTGATCTCTCCCTGTTTCCACTTTTTATGTGCTCCCCTTTTGGCCCTTAGGCTGCCCTGGATTTCTGCATTTTAGATCCCATCATGCCTTATTGTTGGTACAAGGGGAGCATGATTTCAGGCTCCCCTTGCACTGGCAAGCTCCCATGGCTGGGAGTCCCCACACCACTGTTGAGGGGCTCCCAGCCATGGGGGTACACATGCACCCCCAGAGATGGAGGATCACCATTCTGCTGACCTCCACATCCTGAGGGTGTGGGAGAATCCCTGGGGCCGACAGATCACCATAGAGGCAATCCCCGTGCCCTCGTGGTACAGGAAAACCCTTGGAGCTGGAGGATCACCACAGGGTGATCCCCCCCCACCAGGAGTGTGAGCACCCTCTGGGCCCAGAGGATCACCATGAACCTCTGGCCCCAGGTGTTTCCTGAACCCCTGAGCCCTAGGGAACTGTGATCTAGGGATCAGAGGAACTGTCATCCCTAGGGCTTGGGGGTGTGGGAAGCCCCCAGACCCTGGGGATTGTGGCTCCTGTGAACCTCAGGGCTCAGGGGTGCAGGAAACCCCCAGACCCTGGGAATCACAGCTGCTGGGATCCCTAGGATTCTGGGGTTTTATGCTGGGCATGGTGTACCCCTGCAGCTGGGAGCCCCATCTGCTGAAGGGGTTGCAAGCCACAGGGAAACCCTGCTACATGTGCAAATTAAAGCTCAATAGCAACCAGTTATCAAGTTAGTACACATTTTTTAGATCTAACCTTACAGCTGGTTGGAGCTTTTTATCGCGTGATAGCTATGTGCACATGTGGCTGGTCTCAGTGTAACTGTACAATTAACCAGTTAATTGCACATTACCTGTAATCTGTAGAGGGGGGCAAAGTTTAAGCAGTTAAGTGCTTTGCTGAATCAGAGCCTTAAACAGGTTCTCTCATACTCCTCCAGCTAGTTAGTTAAGTGGTGACTAAAGATCTTATGAAATTATTAAAAATAAAGCATTCAAAACTTTGGTTTCCTGGCTAATTTTTCTGCACACTAGTTGGCAACTCTGAATAGTACTAGACCTTCATAGGTGCATAGGGGATAATAATCACAACATTTTCTACACATGGACACTGCATCTGCTTTCCATTATATTTAAATACTTCATAAAATATCTTGGAATATTTAATCATGTATAATCTGAAAGGGAAGAATAAAATATTTCTGTTTTTTAGTCTGAAACAATCAGCCTGCAAAATTTTGCTTTAGGTATACTCAGACTCATGAGGAGGTTTACCTTGGACCATAAAGAGGAGAGAGGATGAAAATGTCCTGGAGAGCTGAACTGTCCAATTTTGAGGACATGCCCATTGTGCTGGTTGGTGTTGTGGAGCTACTAGTTGGGCTGGTTGGAATTACAGGCTGTGAAAAAGAAGAAAACAATTTAAGAATACATTAGTCCAGGCATTTTCAACCTTTTTGGATAACTGTACCCCCGGTGGCTAGAGGCGAAGCAGTGCACCCCCGGCCTCTGAACAGGGTGGTAGGGGGGAGGCAGAGATGGCGCGCGGTTGGACACCAAGCTGGGGAGGGAGGTGGTGCATGGCTGGATGTGGAGCAGCAGCAGCCACCATGTGTAAGCTTCCCCCCTGCCCCCGCGTCTGGCCAGGTGGTTGGTGCCTGCACGGCAGTGCGAGATGGTGCATGGTGGTGCTCCATCCCTGCCCATCCATGCATACCCCCTAGGGCCTTCTCTAGTACCCCCACGGGTACATGTATCCCCGGTCGACAACCCCTCCACTAGTCAATTCTATGTTACATGTTAGGGGTGCTGTAACAAAGCTAAGATGCGTTTTTCTGGAGGGGAGATAGACATTATCTATCTATCTATCTATCTCCCCACCAGGAAAACACATCTTAGCTTTGTTACAGCACCCTAACATGTATCATAGAATTGCCTAGTGCAGGGGTTGTCAACCAGGGGTAAGTGTACACCTGGGCTACTTGAGAAGGCCCTAGGGGTTATGTGCAGGTGGGGATGGAGCATCATCACGCACCATCCCGCGCTGCCACACAGGCACTGCCCACCTGGCCAGACACAGGGGTGGGGGTGAGGAGGAGGGGGAAAAGCTCACACATGGCAGCTCCTGCTGCTCCATGTCCAGCCATGTGCCACCTCCCTCCTTGACTCAGCATCCGGCTCTGCACCATCCCTGCACCCCCAAGCCCTGCTCAGTGGCCGGGGTAAACTGCTCTGCGTCTGGCCACTGGGAGTACAATGATCCAAAAAGGCTGATCATTATATATATATACACTCACACGCACACACACACATACACATTTTTTGGAGGGGGTTAGGCATCATTACAGCTTCTCCCAAAAGGGATGTTTATGGAAAGTTTTCCTTGTTTTAGCTAGCAGCACATGAGTAATGGTATATGAAAATGTAAAGCAAATGTGTTTGAATTAATGTTAAAGATACCTCATGGAAAATTCTAAAAATCATTTATCCCTTAACAATATAGTACTTAACAGCAGTCTCTCTTCTGGACAGACAAAAATCCACTATTAAAATGCCAGTAAAATTGCAGAGGCTTTATATATGTTCCCCATTAATTTTAATTCAAGTAGATATTTTAGTTTTTCTGCTCCTGTGGATATGCAATATGGACAGATGTAACTGCAGTATTTATTTCATGCTCAAAGATGTGGAACTGCTCCAAAAGTTGGGTTTTACAAATGGGCATGCAATTAATATATACAGAAACTGATGTTAAGATTGTGTGTCATGATTTCCATGTATAGTACTTAAAAATAATCTATACAGCATATCTCAATTTTAATTGCATTTTATTATAGATTTAAGAACACTTATGTTGACTGAAAGCATTGAGAACCATACTGGGTGTGTCTAGATGAGACGTTTACTGAACAGTTGCCTAATTAGCTCCATAGTAAATGTCTCGGCATGTACACATGCACCCCTATCCTGCTGCAGAGTTTTTTCATGCACAGCAATGCACATGTAGATGCGAACCCAGCTGGATGGGACATGAGAGTGCTTCAATGTGGGGGATGCCTGCTAGCTAGTCCCATACTAAAAGCACGCTCATGCCCCAGCCAACCCCTCTGCAGCATGTTCAGTCACATCAGAGCAGCCCTGGGCTGGTAGGCTCAATCCCAGACCCTTTGCCAACTGGGGATGCTCTAACCCAGCTCAACATGCTCTGGTCCCAGATCCACATGCAAACGTGGCACCTGGGAGCAAGGAACTCTGGCACAATTATTGCTGTGCATTAATATGCATGTGTAGATGCACCCACTGTAAGCAAAAGGAGGACTTCTAGCTCTGAGACATACATAGAGAATTCTTAAATCTCTATATGAAACTGGTGGCAGCCAAATAGGATGGGTCTCAGGCCTGCATCCAAATAGAATGGGATATGAAAGCCATATTACAGTCCACAGGCATGGAACCATCATTGAGAGGTTACTTCTATTATCTAAACTTAAAAGATTGTGTTAGGGAGTTAGATTTCACCTTCCCAAGCTGTCCTTACTCCTATGCATAGAGTTCAAATACTCCTGCTGTACATGGGTAGAGTAAATTTCATATATGATCCTGTTAATATGCAAATGTAGGGAAGTGACTCTCTTTTTTAAATTAGACGCATATAGTATTTAGATGAAGAGTGTCAAAAATATAGTCTGCAGACCACCTCTGGCTTGTGGAACACCATTGGCCAGATCCCAGTGCTGCCCCAGGGTTTTTGAGTTGATCCAAATGTCACATGTGGCACGTGCCAAGCTGGCCCTACAAGCAGGGCATGGAATACATGCCATGTATTGCACCTGCTTTGGCCAGTCTGGGACCTCTGATGCATGCAGAGACTGCTCTAGCCAGTCCTAAAATGCCACACACAGTACCCACCTCAGCTGGTCTGGAACCCACACTGCATACTGCAACCACTCTAGCTGGTTCAGGGACTCCACTACACCAGCATCTAGTCCAAGCAGTCCAAGGTATGCACTGCACATGATGCAGGGCCTGGACTGGCCAGCATGAATGCTGTGTAAGCTGGCTCTGGCATGCAGGGAGCTGTGGGGAGTGTGTGTGTCTGTGTGTGGGGAGGAAATCTGTGGGTCTGATCCTGCCCATGGACTAGCCCCATGATACCCACAGGGCCAGATGAATTTAACATCTCTATTTAGATCTATTACAAATGGAACTTTTGGAGGGACTTGATGGCACAAGGAACTGGTAATAGGATTTCATAGATTTCATAGATTTTTAGGGTTGGAAAGGATCTCTGGAGATCATCATGTCCGACCCTCTGCCCTGGGCAGGAAAAAGCGCTAGGGTTAGATGACCCCCAGCAGGTGTTTGTCCAGTCTCTTCTTAAAGACCTCCAAAGTAGGGGAGAGTACCACCTCACTTGGAAGGTTATTCCAGATTCTGGTAACCCTTACCATAAAGAAGTTCTTCCTAATGTCTAAATCTGCACTCTGTCAGTTTGTGGCATTGTTCCTAGTTACACAAAGGGGTGCCTTGGCAAACAGAGTATCTCCTATTTCTTGCTTCCCACCCCCCACCCCCCAGGAAACTTGTAGACAGCCATTAGATCACCTCTTAGCCTTCTCTTATGGAGGCTGAAGAGATCCGGGTCCCTCAATATCTCCTCGTAAGACCTTCCTTGCAGGCCCCTAACCATACAACTGGCCCTCCTCTGGATCCTCTCAAGGGTGTCCACATCCCTCTTGAAGTGCAGCGCCCAAAACTGGCTGCAGTACTCCAGCTGCAGCCTTACCAATGCTGCATAGATGGGAAGTATCACCTCCCTAGACCTGTTCATGATGCACCTGTTAATGCATGATAAAATGTGATTAGCTCTATTGATCACTTTGTCGCATTGTCGACTCATGTTCATCTTGGAGTCAACTATAACTCTGAGATCCCTCTCTGCTGCTGTGTTGTTTAGAAAGTTGTCTCCCAATGTATAAGTGTGTTGGTGATTCCTCCTCCCCAGGTGCAGTACCTTGCACTTATCCTTGTTAAACTGCATCCTGTTTTATTCTTCCCACTTTTCCAGCCTGTTCAAATCCACCTGAATCTGTTCCCTACCATCTGGTGTGTTTACTCTGCCCCATAATTTGGTGTCATCCATGAACTTGGACAGTGTGCTCTCCATGCCCTTGTCCAAGTCACTGATGAAGATATTGAGCAGCACTGGTCCAAGAACCAAGCCTTGGGGGACCCCACTGCCCATATCTTTCCAGGACAATACCGACCCATCCACCACCACTCTCTGGGTGTGTCCCATTAGCCAATTTGCCACCCACCTGACTGTGTAATTATCTAAGTCACAGCTGCTTAGTTATGAGAATGGGATGTGACATCGTATTGAAGACTTTTTAAAAATCCAGGTATATGACATCAACCTCAACTCCTGTGTCTAAGCAGTTTGTGACCTGGCTGTAAAAAAACCCAATGTTTTTCAGGCAGGATATACCTGCTATGAATCCATGCTGGTTGCCCTTCAGCATTATTTTTCCTGCTGGACTGCTACAATTGTAATCCTTAATCTTTTTTTTCAAAGATTTTCCCAATGATAGGGGCGAGGCTAACCAGTTTATAGTTACCCAGATCCTCCTTCCTCCCCTTCTGGAAAATAGAGACCACATTGGCCCTTTTCCAGTCCTCTGGAACTTCTCCTGAGTCCTCAGTCTTGACAGTGCTTCTGTTATGACACTGGCTAATTCTTTCAGCACCCTTGGGTGAAGATCATCTGGGTCTGCTGGCTTGAACACATGAAGCCCCTCCAAGTGTCCCTTCACTAGGTTGGTGCTAACCGTTGGTGGTCCGGTGTCTCTGTTGTGCCTGTCTATGGTCAGATTTGGAGATATGCCTTTGTCCATGCTCAGGAATACTGATGAAAAAAACTCATTGAAGCCTTGTCCCTCCTATTCATCTCTAACTGTACAGGATGCACAGTATAAAACACCTATATGGTCTCTCATTAGTTCCCATAGCAATTGCTTATTGATAGTAAAGTGAAGCTTGAGAAACAGTGATTATTTCACTCTAGTACCTAATTAAAACAATCAATATGATTAACATCCCTGCTAGCAGCATCAGCAGAGAGGTTGTGGGTGAAGCAGGTGAATTCAGTGGATTTAGTTAACTAGACATGGATATTGAAGTCACCCAGTTCACCATCCAGGTGATATACTGTGGAGAATATATAATTATCATTGCTCAAAAGTTTTGTACTTTAAACAGATGATATTAAGAACATGTCCTCAATTATGCTTTAAATAAAGAGAAAGTTGGAAGTGGGAGGAACATTCCTTTTTTAAATATTAAGGAGGAATCTATAAACTTGTCCTTTTGTGTAGAAGTGTGTGACAGGGTGGTTTGTGCA